TGTCTGTGTGGCCGGGTACGGACAGTCCGGTGGGAACGAGATCCTGCAGCTGATCCCACCGCCGGCGCTGCAGGCGAAGGAGGCACAGGTGGGTGTGCAGCCAGGGGGCACCAGACCTCTCTGCCCTCCTGGTGTCCTCAGGGACCAGGGCTTGGTGGCCTTCACTGCTCCCCGTTGCTCTGACAGGGGCATGGCCAGGGACTGAGAGTGTGTCTCGTGTCTCTGCCTTTTCTTGTGGTAACCGAGCCCAAGTTATGTGCCACTGTGTGAAGAAGTGGCTTTGCCTCTACCCTCTAGGGCCTGTGTCCAGAGAGAGACTTCAAGGTGGAGTGTGGTGGATTTTCAAAGCGCCCGGTGTACAGCCTGAAACCTGTGCCAGACACCAGGTATGGTCTCCAGGTCCTTCCAGGGAGTACTGGAGGTGGAAGGGGAGTTATCCCCTGAGACCTGCTTCCCTACCTAGCTGGTCAGGGCTGCCAACCCCGAGAGCAGCCCGAGTCTGGGTAGGGAATATCCAGTTTCCCTAATTAGTTTCCCTAATATCCAACCTGAACCTCCCCTGACACAACTTGAGGCCATTCCCTCTCATCCTATCCCTTGTTCCCTGGGAGCAGAGCCCAACCCCCCCCCCAGCTCCCCCCTCCTGTCAGGGGGTTGCAGAGCCAGAAGGTCCCTCCTGAGCCTCCTTTTCTCCAGGCTGAGCCCCCCCAGCTCCCTCAGCCACTCCTCATCATATCCCATAAAATATCCTCATAAAGGCCCTTTGCCTGGGGCTGTGTTTGCCTGGGCTGTTGGAACACCCTGCACAAGATTATGGTCCTTCCAGCCCGTGTTCTGCTCCAAGCAGAGGCAAAGCTCCTGCTCACAGGAGGAGCAGACCAATTTGTCTTATTTGGGGTAAACGAGACTGTTCTCTGCTCCTGAGGAGGTTTGTGAGACCCTTCCTGTTTCCTCAGCTTGCTGGTGACAAGTGGCCCCCCCGACAGCTCCCTCCAGGTCTGGCAGGTGTCAGCAGAGGACTCTGGTAAGGGGACGTGTTTCTGAGCTCACAGGGTTTCTCAGTGTAGTCGTTGCATCAAACATCTCCAGCTCCCCCTTCACAGCTTGCCAAGCATTTTGTTCTGCTTGTTGTCAGTCCATGCTGGATGTGTGGGAAAGAGGGAATTTATCCTGGAGAGGGGGTCAGGCATGATAAGATTTCTTATTGGTTTAGTAGGTCACTTTTAGCTGTGTGAGGCGTCGTTGTGAAACAGCCTAATCTGCTGGGTTGCTTGGCTCCCCGTGTGTCCTGCAGCTGTTTCTGTCTCTTCCTGGCAGATGTTATTAAATCTGTGAGCACCATAGCCACAGAAAATGCCACGGGGCAGCCCTGGGCGAAAATTGCCACCATTTCAGCCAGAGCCCCCTGGGTCCTTCATGGCTCAACGCTGGACAGCATCCAAATCACAGAGCTGGAGCTGAGGAAAAATGTCTACACAGCAGGTATTCGAAGCAAGCCTAATGTCTGATCGTTTGGAGCTGGGAGGGTTGGGCAAAGCAAGCTTGAGTAGCAAACGTTCCACCGAGCAGGTGCCTTCAGGTGTGTGCCAGAGGGTTCCATGGGCAGGGGCACCTTCCATTAGAACAGGTTGCTCCAGGCCCTGTCCAACTTGCAGGGATGGGGCAGCCTCAGCTTCTCTGGCCAACCTGTGCCAGGGCCTCACCACCCACATAGCCAGGAATTCCTTCCCAATATCCCATCTATCCCTGCCCTCTGGCAGTGGGAGCCATTCCCTGTGTCCTGTCCCTCCATCCCTTGTCCCAAGTCCTTCGCCAGCTCTCCTGGAGCCCTTTTAGGCAGTGGAAGGGGCTCTCAGCTCTCGCTGGAGCCTTCTCTTCTCCAGGTGAACCCCCCCAGCTCTCCCAGCCTGGCTCCAGAGCAGAGGGGCTCCAGCCCTTGGAGCATCCCCTTGGCCTGCTCTGGCCTCCAGCAGCTCCCCTGGGGTGCTGTGTGCTGTGAGCTGTGCCTGCTGAGTGTACACCCCGCTGGCTGCCCCGGGCAGGGCTGCAGCGTGGCCCTGCAGCGTGGCC